AATGGTTTGGTTGAAATGTAATATATAATCTTTTTTATATAAATGTAACAAAAATATAAATTCATCTCCCCTTGTACGTCTCCTGAATAGTTTTATACAATTTTTATAGGCGTGGCATTCTTTTTTTTCTTGAAAATAGGATAAAATCGAATGCCACGCCTATAAAAATTGTATAAAACTATTCAGGAGACGTACAAGGGGAGATGAATTTATATTAGGGTCTAAGAAATAGACCTATGTAATCTAAATTCTCTACTATGAAATTTTTTGATAATTTTACTACTACGCACCAATTTTCATCACAAAATATAAAAATTAATCCATTATCTGAACGGCTTGCTATTCATCAGAAATTTTATATGTACTGGCGTCCAAGATATAGACCGATTTGGTTCAAATTTGGTACTTTTGCTTTTTATGTCAAATTGCTGTCATTACAACAATTAAGCCTCTTTGCCACATAAGGCTTTACGTTTCCTGAGAATCCTTATAGGTGGTGGTATCCAAAAAAATAAACTTACGTGCCCCAATTTGATAAAGTTGATTTTTATTTACTATATATATAAGTGATCGAAAAGTGTCTGCCTTCTTGTATTCAACCCAGAGATGTCAGTTTTTAAGATACCTTGAAAAAAATGTGATCATTTGTATCCAGTAATGGTTAGGTATTTAAAGAAGAAGAATATGAAATTTGGTAAACCAGTATGCTTTGGCCCATGAATCAATAATGCTGAAAATGATTCGGACCAGACCACTTGCTAGACCAAAAAATTTTCAAAAATTTTTATGTGAACAAGAAGAGGGTGTTAAAACGTGGGCTGTGGCCGGATTCTTGGACGGATAAATAAATATTTACAAATAAAAAATTTTTTTATTATTGTTTTATTATCATTATTTGTTTACATTAAAGAAGTAAGTTGTAGGACGAACGTAAGATGAGCGCTAAGTCTGTTGACTCTACAACGAAGGGTTGATATTATAGAAAAGAGAAAAAAGAAATAAAAATTACCAAGAGCAATAAAATCTTTAATCCAGACCGAAATATATTCGATCTTTCTTGCTTAGCGATTTCAAGCTTTTTTAGTCACAGAATATAGACTGAATAATCTTTAGGAGTTTCTCCGACAGACCTTTTGAAAGGTCAAACTCATGCTATTCCCGCAATGCATACGCCTATCATTTTATTATCCATTTTCGTATATGTCAAAACCAAGGAAATCATAATGAATATCTGAATCTAAAATTGATTAAGCAAAGCGTGCTTTAACAAAGGGCGTTTAATAAAAAGAAAAAAATTAACGGCTTTATATACTTTGAAAGAGAATATTAAGATTAGAAAATCTTCAAACCTTATTAAGAAATTTTGTTTCATATCTGTTACGTTTCACCGTCTGTTTATTTTTATTTCTCTCTGTTGTTAACGTCACTCGAGAAAGCTTCATGTGCAGAGTTTATCATATGTTTTTAAAGGCATCATGCCATGAGAGAGAGCGAACGTATGTAAATATTAATTTGTCTACTTTGTTTCTTATAAGATTCACATAAGTAATTATTGAACCGCAAGCGAAAACAAAAGATTACGTGTATGAACGATAACTTTTAATGCAATAAGATTTTAAGTACTTTATTTAACCTGAGTCTTATTAAAATTCGAGAAATTAATAATTGAGCCGCAAGCAAAAACAAAAGATAAGATAAGATAGAGACGACAACTTCTAATGCAATGAGCAAACTAAGCTTTTGTTATAATGTGAGTAAAGTTATTATACGGCTTATAAGTCAACCAACTCGCTAATCGACCTATTACTCAGCAGTCGTTAAAATATTTTATAATAATAAATAAGCGAAACATGGCTTTAGACTCTTTATCTGGTAAGTCCTTCTTTTTTTTCCGAAAACAAAAAAGTGTTTATAAAACAAATTAATTTCAAACTTTAGCTTTACGCATAAAATATAAGGAAAAGAAAGACATATTGCTGGAAGAAAATATCAACGTTAAAGAACCTATAACACTTTTTAAAGAATGGATGGAATTGGCTCTAAAAACCGAAGAAATTTTAGAACCGAATGCTGCTTGCTTAGCAACAGTCAATAGGTAAACAAATGAAACATTAGCAAACAAGAAATTGAGAACAAATATAGCAATAATCTTCTTTCCACAGTAAGGGATGTCCCTCCAATCGTTTTGTTCTACTGAAAGACGTTAGTTCCGATGGTTTTACTTTTTTCACGAATTACGGCAGCCGTAAAGCTAACGATATGGCAACTAATCCTAATGTGGCTATGACTTTGTATTGGTGTCCATTACGTCGTTCCATACGTATTGAAGGCAAAGCGGAAAAAATATCCAAAGCTGATTCGATGCAATATTTCCATCAAAGACCTCGAGCGAGTCAAATAGGCGCTTTGGCCAGTGAGCAAAGTACTCGCATACCTTCACGTCATCATTTAGATGTTGTTGAGCAGAAATTGAAGGATGATTTGGGCGATGATAAGGAAGTTCCTATGCCAAATTGGGGAGGCTACTTAATACGACCGCAGCTAATAGAATTTTGGCAGGGACAAGTGGATAGGCTTCACGACCGCATAGTATTTCGCCGGGGGTCGGATGTGGATAAAGTAAAAGAAACAAATCACTGGAATATTTGATAATTGATCCTCATTTAATTATATTTTTTTTTTTGTTTAATTTGCAGGAAATTGATGGCACACTAGTGCACAAAGGTGAAAATGGTTGGATCTATGAACGTTTGGCACCTTAATTTATAAATATAAAAGAACTGGATCAAAACGACAATAATTATTTAAAAAAAAAAAAACAAAATGTGATTAAATTGCATTGATGAAATCATAAACAAATACAACGTATGCTAGTTAAGTATGAAATCATGTTTCAAATTTCCACGTTTAAGGTTTGCCGCTCACTTGGGTTACGCCAAGCGAAAATAGCGATATAAAAGTATATGTAATAAGTCGTTGCGTGTATTTGATAAATTGTTCTTGTTATCCAGGAACAAAGAACACCTTAAACGATGGACAGGGTAAACGAATATATTCATTCACAATTAAATATATTCATAAACAATTGAATTCAACTAAGTGCTGATAAGAATCTGAACATTAAACATCCACGTTACGGTAATGAGATGTAATATGAACATATTTGTATTTTATCCTCCTCCTTGTAGCACTTTAATGGATTGTTGTCTCCGTTTTTCTAAAACAGTCTGTAAAGTCGTAAATAATCGAAATAATTCTATAAATCCACATGAGCAGCCGAGTACGCATTAACCGCAACTAGTAAGCTCTGTACTGGTCGGGAGAATTCGCTTTTCTATGGCAACAAATGAAAGCCGCATTCTTACTTGTTAGCTTTCCTAAGCTTTAAAACTTTGGTTTGAGATTGTTAAGTCGAAGATTGAAAACCAAAATTGGTTTAAAGTGGGTATTTTTCGAATGTGTTCATTTCGATCTGCAGTTTTTTACCGTTTATTAGCTTTTAATACTTTTCGCCAAGAAAAGTGATATTCGTGGCCATAGCGATATTTCTTTCTCAAGAGTAAACTGCTTGAATAAGCGTATAAAATATGGGCACTTTAGAGAATAAGCGTATATGTCCTCAATAATTTGTATAAAAATTCCAAACATCTATGCTAGTGGCCACGGGTTCGAATCTCAATAAAGTAGAGTTTACGCTAAGCATAGCTATGGTCACCTCCCTCTTTCTTTCATTCTCTTCACTTCTTTTTGAGCGTTAAAGCGTTATACAAGTAGAAAATATCCCTAGAACGATTGATCACTTTAATGTATATGTTATATAATAAAGGCATATATAATATATAATAAAAGCATCGGCTCGAAAAAGTGGATTTTAATAATTTTTTAACTTATAGTCCATAAAGACGTCTTAACTTTCTTATACTTTCCATAAAGACTTTGAATGCATATTAAGTCCAGCGGATACGTTAAGAGTTTAAAGGTGATTGGAATCGGTTTTTAGGACTATGTGTATTTCTTGAAGAAGCAATAGTTTGGATCCGTATCTGATGCCTGGATTGTCCTATCGAGAAGCAAGAAATTGTTTTCAATGTCTAGACTATGTCTGCAGATACCAGAAATTCTGCATATACGCACGAAAAAGTTTTCTTTCGATATCCAAACATCTGCTTAATAGTAAGTCCTTATTTATAATTATGACTATGAATTATAAAATATATCATGAAGCAATTAACTGTGGTGCCAAGATTATTTGAAACGGAAGTCATTTCCATAACCAAAGATGCTGGGAACAAGCTGCACTATTGAAATATCCGTAGAAATGATCCAGAGTTTCTTTAAACAGTTTCAATTGCAAATAAATAAAAACCTTTCCCCCAATTTGAATAACTATTTGAATATATTTTCATGTTATTTAAAAGTTGTTATAAACCGAAAATCTAAATGCGCTTGAAATCAATTTACGCCTTTCCCCCTACTTAACTCTTTTTTAAAAAAATTTCCATTTCCCCTAAAAGTATGTTACAAATTGAAAATAAAAATGCTCCCCAAAACATATTACGTTGTTTTCCTATTTCAGTAACGAATTGCTATAATGAAATTTTCATTTCGCCTAAAGTTATGCTATAAATTAAAAATGTAAATGCGCCCCAATTACGCTTCACCTTCTCATTTTTTAATATTTATTGACTTTTAACTGTTGTTACGTACATAAAATCAAGTTTCCTTTACTTTTCATTTATATGCACATTAAAAGATTCCCTTATACGATCAAGCTGCAATCAAAATAACAATTGCAACAAGTAAAAAATTTATTTATTTGTTTGTCTCACTAACTTACCACCCGTCGCTCTGCCCATTTATGAACAAAGCCTCTCTTCGATCCCTGCGCACGTGGCTCATCTAGTTTACGTGTCCCGCTCAAGACCGTCGGCTGTCTCTTCATATGGTTCTACGTCCGGGATCTTGAACGTCTCGCCTAAACCGGACTATTCGCGCGGTTTTATAAATTTCTTTATTTATTTTCTCATACATGAAACTCAGCTAAAATAAGTTAACGGCCAAATTCAATTGACTCTTAGAAGTAAATGTCATACTAATTAATATTTTAATTAATTAAAAACTACAATACAAAGTGTACAAGAAGAACTATTATGTAGTAATTAATTATCTCGCGAACGTGTAGCAAAGAATTTCACATAGAAGAAGCAAATAAATGCGTATTTCAAGTTTGATTATATTTGCTGAAGGAGATTGAATTCAATTAAGTTTGTTCAGCACTCTCGGCTCTCGTATATGAAACAGTATATGACAACAAAATAAAAAACAAACAAGAAAAATGTGCAATCAAGCGGTTATTGTTGTTCCCTGATATCCTGTGAAAAAAGATACTAAGCGAGGCAACATTGGAGACTATGTGCGCTTCTCATACCATTTCTGCTTTATATTGTATGTGTTTGCATAATAATAACAATCAAATTAATAATAGTAATATTTGCCGCCATCTGAAAGTAAGCGTTTATGATTCTCAATAATTTGTATAAAAAAATTCCTAACATCTGAGAGCAAGCGTCTATGTTTGTTTACACTTCTCAATAAGTGAACATGTATTTGTATAAAAAAAAATGTAGTTTTTACACCTATAAAATTAGCAAAGGTAAAAAACGAAAATTTTCATTAACACGCGCGTCGTAAACAAACCACTGAGCTCAACTGGAGCAACGCATTGATAACTTCCATAAACATCGTTAATGAGTTCTGTTTGAACTTTTAAATCGCTGCGAAAATATGACATTAGATAAGTGTCTTTTACATTATTCTCGCAATTTTTTTCTAATAATTGTTCTTCAGATTGTTCCGATTCAGTAGCAACCTCGCTTTCGCGAAAGGCTTGTTTTTCTCAAATATAACTACGGCTTTATCAGTGTCAGATTGCTCTGGAAAGCAGCCCAATAAAGCTATACTTTCATCCCGCGTATTATTATTAAGAATGCGTTGTAAACGGAAGTTTGTCAAATTATATTTAACCACACCAGTCGGTTGATTGCTATCTACTTTCCTCCCGTTCTTGTTTACAGATTTTCTGGTTTTTGTTTTGCTTTTGCTATACTCTGCACTCAGTACTCTGCTCTCTCTTCTTTCGCTTTTAAATATGGAATATTTCTACGTTACAATTCATTTATATTACATCGATTGTTGTTAGTATGAAAAGTTTTACTTGAGGCTTATGAACTTTGCTAAGTAGACAATTTGTTTTTTTCTTTTTCACGCATTCTATGTTACGCGTTAGAGGGTTCAAAACATGCAAGCGGAAGCTAGAAGAATGCAAAAAAAAAAAGGCTATATATATGTATGTATTAGATAACTTAGGGAGAATAAAGAGAGCAGAGATGCAATTTGCGACTGTCTAAGCGAAAAAGAGAAAAGAGGATAATACAAGCGGTTTGAACCGAAACTTTTTATATCCTTTATAAATTCTATACATCTTTTGATAAAATTCAAATTTAATTAACGCATACCTATTACAAAGCACTATTTATCTTCCTCTTACGAATAACGTTGCTATAAAAATTCTGTGATTTCAAAGCGAAATAGTTGTAGCCCCCTTCTTGTTTTGCAGAAACAATGATCCCTTAAATATGAGTTTACCGATCTGAACCACAGCTAATCAGCGAGAAGCAAGTCTAAAGATCAGCCCTCAATCGGAAGAGAAACTTCCCAAAGGTGCAGACCACTTTATGGTTTACGTTTGCTAAAAACAGGCCGACTTCTTTGCATAAAATCTCGTAAAGTGGACTCGCGTTCTGACTATTTTGTAGCTTGCTGCCTTTTCACTCCAAACCTACTTAATCGTTTTCATAGCTTCAGTTGCATTGCTAAAAACAGACAGAAACCCAAAACCGTCTAAACAACACTCATCTGTCCTTGAAAACATATCAATCTAATACCTAATAAGCAACCATGTTCAGGTTACATTTATAAGGACCCTAAACTTGGAGGGGTAAGGGCATAGGCGAGTGCAATAGAACTTTCGTGGTCGTAGTAAGGATTGTTTACCAATTTACAATAACAATACTTAGAGAACGTATATCATATATTCGGACAATAAGTTCAAAACATGAACCATATATTTCAACAATAAAGCTTGCATAATGTCGATTTTATGTTCCTGGCAGTGTTTCCTTGATTTTAGGAGAAGGAGTAAAGTCATGTATGTCATGATGTTATGATGTATTATACGGTAATATATTATATATTTTTACCTATCTTCAGAAGGAGTCACAAAAAGCACATTGCATGAATAATACCACCTTTGTTAATAGCTGAAAAGCTACAGGGTTACCCTTTTTATTAACAGAAAATCTAGTAGAAAATTTGCTAATGTTCTCAGATATGACAAAAGCGTAAAGGGGATTTAGGAAAAAAGAAATAACGCTCTTTAAACGAATTTCAAATTCCCTACATCTGAACTAAATTAGCACATCATGACATTTTCCAGGGTATTATACGAGGAAAACTATCAAAAAGATAGAAAAATATTTTAGTTATTCTTGATAATTATTTCTATTAATATTCAGATTAAAGCCTTGCGATGTTTTCAAGAAAGATTTTTCCAAATCTGATAAAAATTTCTAAATATTTACAAAATGTTTGGAAGCGACACCTTCGTCAGTGAGCAGAAAGCAAATGGAATCTAACATTAGGTAAGCTTCCTGGAATCCATATACGGTCTTTGAAAGAGTTCCGAGAGATATTCCACTGTATTAACTATCGGCCTAGACAAGGACATGGGACGATCTATAAAAAGCATAAACGGATCTTA